CTTTACTAACCTTTCCATTCTTTCTTTGGATATGTGACCCAAACGTTTATGCCACAAGTAAGCAGAGGATTCATCAAACAAACCACGCTTAATACGAATATTATGATGCAAGGTTAAGAGAGTCTCAGCGAATAGGGTATCAAGCTTTAGTTTGTACAAACCATCAACAAGGGTACCAGAACCGAATAAAAAATTATGTTTGAACAAACTAATAGAACCATTTCCAATGTTCGAAAAATACCCGGCCTTATCTAGTTGAGACACCGAAACCAAATTACGAGAAATTGAAGGAGCATAAAGGGTATTGACAAGGTCCAAATGATGACCAGTATCTAAAACCAAACGATAAGTCCCAATAGCTCGGTTTCCCATATAGATGAACCTCTCATTTTGCCTTATGGTTTGGGTCATAAGGAATCCCTGTATCATTTTGGAAACATGAATGGTACAACCAGTGTCAACCCACCAAGTATTATAAGGAACCTCAGTTAAATTTGATTCGAAACATACTGAAGCACTAGGCTTACCCTTTCTTTCGAACCATGCCTTTCTTTTCAAGCAATCTTTCTGATAATGTCCGGCTTTCTTACAAAAGCGGCATATATCCTTACTTGGTTCCTTCTTGTGGATTTTGGCAGATGACTAATTAAGCTTTGATAGTCCTTCCTTACCCTTGCCATTCTTGTTCCATGGTTTCTTTTCAGCTCCTTTATGACCAACAAGATTGGCAGAATGATTTCCTGGTTTCTTAAGCCTTGCTTCCTCTTGGATGAGCATACTTTGTAACTCATGCACATTCCATTTATCCTTTAGGGGTCGTTTGCTTGAGGGTTTTGGTGATGGATTTGGTCATGGAAATATATCCATCATGGACTTGAACCGAAATCCATCGTTTGCCTTAGGGAATTAGGGAGATGGAATTTGTGGGGCCCACCACTTTTGGGGTTCCAAATCCGTGGACCCCACGGACTTGGAAGTTCCACCTCTTGAGGTGGGATTTGGGTGATGGATTAAAATCCATGATGGTAAATTACCTTTCTACCCTTAATTATTTCTTTAATTATAAATTTGTCCAACTTTAATTCAATGGTCATGCAACTGTAAACTTTTATAATTTCGTATTTTATATATATGAGAATTTATCATTTCATTTTGTAATATTGTATTTTATTTAAATATGAATGTATATGTGATTTGTTAGATTCACCTAGAAACACTTTATGCTCATCTTGTACATTATTATTTGATTGATTGTCGGATTCCACATCGGTGAGTTAGCAAGAAGAAGATGAGTTGTAGCAATAAAGCGAACAATTGGCTGCAATTGATACATAATATTGCGTACATTATTAGATGAATTGTTTTTTTTATGAAGGATTATTAGTTGAATTTTTAATTAGTGCCAAGATAGATTGTTAATTAGTGCCAAATTGTAATACATTTCTATATTTGTAGTTGAATTATTAATCCACATAGTGGTAAAGAGTTTAAAATTTCTTTCTATGTTTTGGATTAGTTTTAAATGAAAGATTTGGATTATAATATAGAAATATAGTTAAATAAGGGTAACTAGGTAATTTGTATTTAATATCCACAAATCTAATCAAACAAAGTCCATAATAAAATCCACCAAGCAAACAATAGACTTGTTCAAATCCATAATGCCACCAAATCCATCATATATCCATGGTTTTCCAAAACCCAGGTTTTACCAAAACCCTCATTTTTCAAATCCATGAGGCAAACGACCCGTTAGAGTATTGTAATGCACATGGAATGTGTCGTACTTTGGAGGTAAGGAATTAAGGATGAACGTTACTAGAAAATTTTCATTCACTTCCATTCCCATGGTCTTTAGTCTTGCTGCAATATTCGTCATTTCGACGATATGCTCATGCATGGTACGAGAACCATCAAACTTCATGGCGGTTAGCGTACCCATCAGTGTCCGAGCAAGCGACTTATCAACATACTCAGATTGAGAGCTTTCTTTCACGGAATTCATAAATTCCTTAGCACTTTCAGTATCATTCAAAGTTGACTTAATGTTGTTTGCTACAGTCATTCGCATAAACATTAGGCTTAGTCTGTTAGATCTTTAACAAAGCTTTATGGAAAGACTTATCCTCAGCACTGCTAGCATCAGTAAGAGCAACAGGTTTCTCACTTAAGAGTGCCAAATCAAGATCCAGAACACGGAGGTGAAACTGAACCTATTCAGCCCATTCAGAGAAGTTGAGGCCATTAAACTTAACAACAGACGTGGCTTGCGAATGAAGAGAAACAGGAACATATGCTGCAAACATATATAACAAGTACTCACACATTAATGCTTTGGGTAATAAGCACAAACTATAATACAGATTTGGAAGCATAAACATAAAATATATATTGATGCTACCTTTGGGCAAAACAACAATATATATGCGATAAATAATCGTAATTGATGCTCAAAATAATCATACAATTGGTGATAGACATGCTCAAATTAGATATACTTGCAATCTTTGGATATACTAAATATATCTAACCAAGCATATCAATTTACCACGATAATGTTCATGAATTATAAAACGAGCAATCAACCTTTGGGCGATTCAAAATATTTTATAATCACGAACTTCAACTTAAAAGCATCACATAAACATTAGCAGTTGAACTTGATTCAACTTGATATCTATAAACCTTATAATTTGGCCACTTTGGTGACTAACAAATTAATCATAAAGTAGATATCAAATGTAAAATTTTAACTTAAGGTAAGACAGTTGTTAATAATGCTTTGAAATACGCAGACCCAAAACTTGAGTCTCCAATTGCATACTGTTACTAATGGAAAAACAATATTAATCATCATTGAGACAAACATAAGGCTTTATCAACCTTCCCAAACTCTTAATTAATCGAACGCATATACAAAAGCAATAGTAATCATCCATAATTGCTTTTATCATGATTTTTAGTTGAAAAGGAAATAAAGGCAAGATACTGTCATCGCAATTCATTATAATTGACGAAACAAACATATCAATATATCATGTAAGCATAAACATATATGCACTGCACATATATATGTTCTTGATAAACGGCGAATAATTGCTCGACGGACAGAAGACCAACCGCAAAGAAGTTAAATATAGTTGTGTACAAATCTCGAACGCGTGGACTCAATAGAATAAACAGATGATCAATCAGAAGCATCAACAAGCTTTAATCATGCATAAGCGATTGATATAAACGCAGCGGAGACTAATCGAGCATAATACATAATCGAAAATCATCCATTCATATAAACCCTAAGGCTCTGATACCACATGTAAACATAAATCATAATAGCATGGATCTTAGAATTAGATGATTTCACGAATCGGTAATAGATAAAGGAAACCTACCTCGATCCATGACGAGAGCGGCGGCGGCTTAAGTAGTAATCACCGGAATTGAGTTTCTCCCTCTTGACCCCTTTAGGTTTTAGGTTTAGAGATTTCTATGATGGCTAAGAAATTCTACGTAATGGGTGGAGAGAGGACCAATCATATGGTTTCTTTATATAGACCCACCATCAGGGTATATTAGGAAATTACATTTTTCATTAACCTAACCAATATATGACTTACCTTATATATTAAACCATTAAGTGATCATTACACTTGGGCCACAATTATTCCCTAGTGATTCATAAGGAAATTGGGCTTACATAGGGTTCTATTCCGAATCTCAAACTCCAGGGAAGCGCCGCACTAACTTCACATTTGGAGCTCCTGGAGAAGAGTAGAGTTGGCTTCTGCTTGCTGGAAGAGGGAGACGTCGGGAGAAGACGACGGCGATAGGGAGGGAGCCGAACGGTTTCGGTTGTCCTCGCGTTGGATTATCGAATAGAAGAGAGGGATAAGAGTAATTTGATGTGGGTGGGTTGCTTTCTTTTCTTTTCTCAAAATTAATTTTGGAAAATGATTCTGAATTTGATCAAGAGAAAATGATTCTTTATCAGTCTAACTCTTTATAAACAAACGTCATAAGGGGTTGGTTTTTTGACACCCCCTTCTCAATTGGTCAATTTTTTTTCCATTAATGATTGACAAGTATTAATGAAGGTAGACATAATAAATGTTCTGTTATTAAATACAAAGTAAACATTAAATACACCACATTAATTACTATTTTTTTTAAATTTAAATATATACAAAATACAATTTTCTCTCTCATCTTTGATCTTTCTCACTCCTATTTCTGATTCTTCCCTTCCCAACAGCCTCCGACCACCAAGTTCCCTCCGATCACCACACTTCGCCGGTAAAATCCAGCGGACAGACTCTCTCCGGTCACTTGCGAAAATATACCACTGCACTGATATGTTGTACCACTGTATTGGTATTTGTACCACTGCACTAATACTCGGATATGACATTAGTACCAGTACACTAATATCGCTACAAGTGCAGTGGTACAACGTATCAGTGCAGTGATATTTTTTTGCAGGTGGTCGGAGGGAGTCTGCCGATGAGATTTTCACCGGAGAAGTGTGACGGTCGGAGGAAGCCTGGTGGTCGGAGGCTGCTGAAAAAGGAAAAACCAGATATAGGGAGAGAGAATGTATTTATTGTAGGTTTTAATTTGAAAAAAAAACAAATAATTAATATGGTGCATTTAATTCCTAATATGTATTTAATGTGTTTATTAAATTCATTTATTGTATTTAATACCCGAGGGGGTGTCATTTTTTCACCCCTCAAGGGGGTTAGCATGCTAACCGATAATGGTAACTGACCTACCAATTCTCTATCTAGTTTCTCTCTCTAAAAAATACTGACTTAATCACCGGAGAGTATCCGAGGCCCCGATTCCGGATCCCTTCTACAGGAATACGAGTCCGCTTGCGTCAAAAGGAAAAGGAATGCGTAATCTCAACAAGAACGGCCTCTATCCCGCCTAGTACTTTCCAGGCGGAACAGTAAGATTATGCAAATCAAGATTTGGCCATCTGATTTCATTGTAATTTCGATCTTCATCCCTTGTCTCTACTCTCTAGGAAACCAAATGTTTCTGCATTCAATTCTATGAACGTGAAAATCTTTACTGTATACACAACTTTACAAAGAATAGAGAATGAGGAAATTAACAACTGGTATTTGCACGGTTAGCTAGGTTCCAGCCATCCCCTTCTCATTCACTTATTAAACTAACTGAACCTCCCAATCTTGGAAAACCTTCTGTAGATTCCAGACTCTAAATGACTACTTGCAAGTTGCAAGTGTCCTTTCTCTATTGAAACTGCTCGAGTTAAAAATAAAAATTAAAAAAAATGGTGTTTTTAGTAATTAAGACTTAACCGGAAGAAGGGTTTTCCTCCATTCTGGAATGTGGCTCGAGAGGAGGTTGATGTACTGCTCCATAGCTTCGTCTCGGTTGATGTCTCCCAGTTGCTGCCATGAATTCCTAAAAACCCATGTAGAATATCTTACAGCAAGTAAAAAAGTGAAAGTGATTACACAATATGAGTACATTTCTTTGATGAATTATGCTGCCAATTCTCACTCTTTGTGCAGTGAACCCAAAATAGAAGCAGAAACAAAGATGATCCTTACCACTTTGCACGAGCAGAAACCTTCAAGGCCATGGGCCGGGGAGCATGGCAGGGGCCATCAATGGCGATCTTGTGAAGCCCATAAAGCTGCAACTTCAACTCGTTTCGCGGATGCGAATAATTAGCAGCAGCGAGGGTAGAGCCAACATAAGCGACAGCAGCACCGAAAAGCCGCTCCAACTCACTTCTCTCCACCCCTTGCCATTCATCAAACACCATACCTGCATTCTTCACCCAACCCACCTCCACCAAATCGTCTCCGCACTCTGAAACCTCAACAATTTCACATTCCAACGCGACCGCCCCGCCCAAATCCAACATCTCAATTTCGTCGCAATCCAAACTCCCCCGCTCGCTGAACTCCTCTGCCCTCGGTTCTTTGTTTGTCGGTGATGCAAGACCTCTGCCATTATCTCTGTAGCTGAATCTGCTGAATTCCTCTACTTGAACGAATTCTGCAGCAAAACCAACTGTTTTCTCCGGTTTGGAGGAGCGGACATTCCTGGTCCTTATCCTATTGCGCTTGAGTTTGACGCAATTGAAAGCACCTCCTGGGTAATCGTCACCGGAGCCCGTAAAAGTGGAAGAGGAAACGGAGAGGAGCTTGGAGACGATGAAGGAGAAGAGGAAGGAGAAGAAAAGGGTCAAGGAGAATTCAAGGAACAGCTCCATGATGAGATTTTTTTTTTTTTACTGACCGGAGATGAGAGAGGACAGAGGAGAATGTGGAAGGTTGAGAGTAATGTACGCTTCCTTCTGCTTCGTGGAGAAAAATACAAGCACCGAATTGTCAGAGAGCTCAACCGCCCACCGACTCCATTGTCGTTGTCAGCTGATGATGGCGCTCAAAAAACGACGCCCCGTCTTCTTTCCGCTCTCACCAAACCAAAATAAATGAGAGAAGTGATAGCAGGTTCAGCGATCTCACTCTTACTGAAGAACAAATCATAGGCCCTAGAGTTTGAATGAAGAAAGGGAGCCATAAATGATTAGGAAAGCATCCTGAATCCTGACATTATTTCTGGTGGAAGGTCCATTTTCTGTCCATTGTTATTCTTGGGGAAAAGGGTAGGTCCATTGAGCGCCGAGACATTACCCAACAATTACGAAATAAACACTGTCTGTCTGTATTCAACTTTCCTTTTCTGGTTGTTTCAGTGTCAGACAAAACTCATGAAGTGTGAAATGCATGAATTGGTATGGGCGAGACATGAGCATGACACAAACAATGGATCGTCTCCAAATTGAGCTGCTCCATAATTAATAGTTTGTGAAGCATGGATAGGTTTTAAAATATATTAACTGTTTTTTTACAAAAAAAATATATTAACTTTTGGAATGATAATAACAGTTGATTTTGAAAATATTACAATTTCATAATTATTTAATTTTTGCTTGGGTCTTCAATGGAGGTGTGTAAGTCTTACTGTAGGATGTTATGTCAAGATTTTTTAATCAAGACGCTAAGAATGTCATTATATATATATGGTGGCGTCTTCGGTGCACTCACTTTTTTGGGTGCGTTCAGTGCACTCACTTCATAACCATCGTTTTAAACATGCGATTTATGTAAAAATGATGTCAATCATCACTTATGATATGATGAACAATAACGCACATGAATTTGCACAAAAACCATTGAAGATTTACTTTAATTTGACGGATTTAGAGTTTAGAGATTTAGGGTTAGGGTTAGGGTTTACAATTTGGGGTTTAGGGATAGAACTCAAAATTGGAGGTCTAAGGCTTAGGGTAATCGGCTAATTAGTTGTTATCATACGTTATATCATCATATTACACTGATTCTACAAATTAAAATTCAACATCCGACACCTTAAGACTAGTTTTTGAGTTGGGTGCATTGAACGCACCCATTATATATATATATATATTGAAGGAGACAACAGCCAAAGATACAGGGCTAGCTTACATAAGTAGTAATCGAATTATCTATCACCCTTATAGGAAAGCTAACTCCTCTTATGTCATCACCGGTGATCACTCTCGCCTCTCCTGTAGGGTTTGATAGTTCATACAAACCGAAGTGATAGACGGGAATGTGCTTTGGGAGCTAGTCTGCGACTCTATTCCCTTCACGATATGTATGTTCTAATCTGACCACCCAATCTTGTGCGAGAATTCTCCTAATTGCAGCCAGCAAGGTTTAGTGTGGATGCACTAGGTCCACCCTTTGTTCAATGAGATTCAAAGCTAACATCAGGTTTGTCTCTAGAACGAGGAACCGAGCCCCTTATTTCCACGCAAACTACAATCAATGAAATATTACCCACAACTCAGCTAGAATAGCAGTACCTGGCCGATTTTACAGCAGAAGCCCCCTTTCCACTCCCCTTGGTTGTCTCTGAGGATGCCCCCTACTGTTACAATTTCGGGGCAGCCTTGAGCAGCCCCGTATGTGTTGATCTTCTGCCAGCCAGCCGGCGGAGGTTTCCATGCTACTAGCTCCTCTCTTTTCTACCTTCCGGGTTGCCGAACTAGATCATTGCGAGCTGCTTCGCATGCTCGGACCCAATCCTGAGCTTTGGTTAAGACATAATTCGCCAAGGAGGAGGGAGTAAGAGTCTTTCCTTTGAAAATGTTGACGTTCCTGTGTTTCCAAATGTGCCACAAAATGAGTATGAAGAAGCTTGCCCACTCCCCTGGTCAATCTCCTTCTTTGTCGTCCTCCAAGTTGTTGCTGATCCAACCATCATAGTCTTGCGAGAAGAAGGACTCGTGATGGTGATTGGGCAATGCCTTTTCCCAAACTCTCTTCACCCTTGTGCATTCTCTCAAGCAATGAAGATTAGTTTCCCTCTCCACCCTGCAGAGTGGACATTTATCATCATTGGTGAGTTTCCTGTATTTCCTTACACTATTTGTAGAGAGGTGTCCCTTTGCTGCCAGCCAAATGAACATACGAACTCGTTCCAGACAGTGAAGTCTCCATCTTTTCTTCCAGAAGCTCGTTGTGCCCATTTGCAGCTGCAGGGAAAGGGCTTTGAAAGTTGTCTTGATATTAAACTTGTCGCTAGATGAGAGTTTCCATGATAATTGATCTTCGTCAGTTTCTAGAGGGTCTAGCATGCTCCCTCTGATCTGGTTCGTGATGTCCGGAGGTAGTAGCTCTTCAAATTCTTTCGTCTTCCAACCCCTCTCCGGATCCCAAAAACCCGCCACCTGAAATTGTTGTTGATCTAGGGGGATATCCGCCACAACCATTTCTTCCAACGGTACCTGCGAAATCCAGGAATCGGACCAAAAATTAGTTCATCTTCCGTTTTTAACATTCAAAGTCGCACCCCTGCGCAGAGTCATTGCACCTTGTGAAAAGCTCCGCCAGGTGAAGGAACTTCCCTGGTTGAGTGAAGTATGACCATTCCTTGCTTGCCGTTTGCGTATTTAGCCCTGAGCACTCTAGCCCAAAGAGTTTGATCTTTGGTGATGAGTTTCCATGCTCCTTTTGCTAACATTTCTTGGTTTGCAATTCTGGTGGGCCTAACCCCAACCCTCCCGGGCTACGTGGAAGAGTGATGTCCTCCCAACCTATAGGATGGAATTTTTTCCCAGATGAACTTCTTGTTAATTCTGTCAAGAGAGTTGCGAAAAGAATGAGATCATCAGCGAAGAATAGATGGGAGAGCTTTGGTCCATCTTTCGATAGAGCAAGTGGTATCCATAGCTTCCCCTCTATTGCTTGATTAATAAATTGAGATAATCTTTCCATACAAATCACAAACAAGAATGAGAATAAGGGATCTCCCTGCCGGACTCCTCTCGTTGGAGTAATTGGGGAAGTTTGCTTCCCATTCCAGTTTATCGACACTTTTTTGTTTTCCACGCAAGTCATGATGCGAGCAATCCAGGTGCTAGGCAGGCCCACTTCTTTCAATGTATCCCAAATGAAGTCCCAATGGAGCGTGTCATACGCTTTCTCCAGGTCTACCTTGAAAATAAGGCCTCCTGTTTTTCTCTTCTTCTTACGTAGGGAGAGGATGACTTCTTGGAGAATAACTATGTTGTCATTAGTTTGCCTCCCCTGAATAAATCCGCTTTGATTTTCTGAAATCCATTTAGGATGCTCCCAAAGGCCCATTGTAACCTCAATCAAAGCTCACATACTAGGTCATGACCACTTAATTTCTCACAATAGGTTCAACCTATCGTGCACACTATAGCGATGGATCAATGACGCTTGCATCATCTTTAGCATTGTCCTAGGAAGGCGTTCCTCTAGCAGGGGTATGGTCTCCTATTCCGCAAAAAGAAAAACCCTAAGATCATTCATCTACCCTTAATTAGCCATAAGGCGCTCAAATCCAGTCTACTGTAAAACTCCCACCTAATTCTATGACTCAGTTGTAGGCTAGTAGAGAAGAATTGGAGAGACAAGCCCCAACATAATTAAACATAAATGGAGCATTTATTCAGTGAAACAAACAAATACATACACAAACCCTAACACAATCACATCTACATTCAAAACCTAGTTCTAAGGTTTGAGCGTTTAAACCCCTAGTACCTTGGAGGACTACTATAAAGAAGGGAATAAAATACGTGTAGAGAAATATAAGAGGACTTGAATTGGGGGAGAGCTCAAAAAATATGCCAAAAGCCATCTTCTTGAGAGGAGGAGTCCCCTATTTATAGAATTTATAGGACACGGGCAAGTTCACATGCAGGGGCAGGAAATTGCGATCGTGATCTTAGGGCGAGAGGCCACGATCTGGGCTTCAGCGACTTTAGCCTTGTCTGGCTTTGGAATCGCGGCCTGACTTTATGATCGCAATCTGTGAGTCACAGCCGCTATCTTTCTTACGGGCTGAGACGACATGAGTCACAAGTCGAATGTCAAGACTTTTGGTCCTCCCTTGACGGCTGCATCTTCAAGTTCACGCCCAAAGCTCCATAGTTCGTGGCCGCGATATTTGGCTTGAAAGTTTTGATCTTCATGCTCTACTTTGCGCCCCTACATCTCGGTCGTGATCTTCACTCATTCAGCTACGAACTCCATTTTGGCCCTTTTTCTACACTTGTGAACCATTTCGGGCCTAAAATATCATATCATATAATACACCACCTAAAATGCTAATATTTTCTCTTGGGAGCGAATAGAGGATATATTTGATGATATATAGACCGTAAAGGCCATGAAATGACTCAAAACAAACCTAAATATGAGCTCTAAATAACACCATTTTGGGTGTTTCAAGCTTACCAGCATATCCAAGGGGAACTTGAAGGAGAGATGGGCCGAAATTTAAAGAAGAGAAAGGGCCTCTCTATCCTAAGCCCAGAAACGAGCCAGGAGGCAAATGATGGGCCTGGTTTTACATTGAGCCCAGCTAACTCTATGTTTGCAGGAGGAAGGAAAGGAAGAAGTAAAAAGAAGAAGCACCAAAAGAACAAAGGCCAATCGATAAGTGAAGGCTTAGGGGATGGAGAAGAAAGTGACACAAGGGCAGCGGTGGTTCGCCAAAAGCCACCTCACGGTCCATGAGTATTGTAAGTTGGAACTGTAGGGGATTTGGCCAATCCCTTACGAGAAGTTATGCTAAACGTCTCATTCGACGTCATGGCCCTTCTATTGTCTTCCTAATGGAAACTAGCAAAAACGAAGAGTTCATGGAAGAACATAGGAGAAGTCTTAGGGTTTTCCCCAATAAGGAGTATGTTGAACCGGT